CTAGGCAGAGTTGCACACAACTTTCATCCAAACACTTGAGATCTCATGTCTTTGATTGGGAAGGACACACACTTTTAATCCCAGGAAGTGATGGCATGAAGCAGAAAGATATATAAGACATGAGGACAAGGAACTAAGAGCTTTCAAGCCATTCAACTGAGACCCTCAGGGGTGAGGACTCAGAGGCTTTCAGTCTAGGATTTGTGGAAACAGAATAGGCTAATAATTTTTTGAGATGAGGTTGTCTGTGGATTATTCTGCTTCTCTGATGTTTCAGTTTTCACCCCAATATCTGGCACTCAGTTTTTTATTAATAAGACCATTTAGCAATTCATGTTACAAACATCTCTTGTTGTGTCTTTAAATCTCTCTTTAGTTAATATTCTGAGCACCAGTGGGACAGGGATCACTTGACGACACATAGCACAGTGGGTTGTGCATACTAGCTAGCCACATTGTATCCAGGAGGAAGAAGGAATGCATGCCTATGGAATGCAAGAAGATAGTAGGATCTTCTATTGGAGGCAGAAGCAAGTGCTATTGAAATGCATACATTCTCTGATTTAGAAAACATTTTTATCTGAGGTAAGGCAGGCTTAGAAATCTTTGCATTGTGTTTTTAAGCATAATGTAACCCTATGGAAGGTGCTCTTGTTACTTAGGCCTCACTAGCCAGTCAGGCCCTCCAGGCCTCCTGCCAGTCAGAAGTTGTACAGGGTTCTTCCAGCAGCAGGCTTCAGGCTTGACTTTGAAGAAAAGGCACCAGTGGTTTTGTGTTGTATGCTGTGAGTGTTGCTTCAGGGAGCTGAGAGCATGGTCAAGCTTGGAAAACACAACATGTGAGTGAGGTGCTGCTGTCCTCAGATGGGGTGAGGCAGATAATGAGGTGCAAGAGCCAGTGTGGTGGGATCTCCACAGATCTGGGTGGGAAATTTCATCCAGAATGTCTGTTCTTTGAGGTCCCATATGGTCTTGAAACTTCCTAGTCCCAGGGCAGGTCTCTGAATATCTTTGCTCTGTGGGCTGAATCTGCTCACAGAATGAGAAGCAAGGAGCTGTGTGTAGAAACATCTTTGTAGTCACCTTCAACATTCTTTTGGTGAACCCATTGAAAGCAAGTAGCCAAACTTGAAGAGGCCTAGTTTCTCCAGTACCTTCTAGAGGTTAAGTACTTTGCATTTACCTCTAGATATCCATTTAACTCTAGGATCCATTTAGAGTTAATGTTGTGGAGGTTGTGACAAACATCTCATGTGTTGGGTAGCACCCCACTACTAAGGTGTGATGTAGAAGAGTAGAATTGGTGATATGAAGGATTTAGTAATTTTTAGGAGATAGTAAGTCTCACAAAATAGAATTTAGTTAATGGAGGACTGTCTCAAAAAAAAAAAACAAACCCCAAAGATAAGTATATTCTAGCCAGGCCTGTTAGAGATTAGGACAGTAGGATACACATTTGCTCACTAGCATTGTCCAGACAGTTGGCTCCAAACCATTACAAAGGAGTCACTCCTGGTTCATAACCAGACACTAGACCTAACCCTATATCAAATAACAGGATTCTATTAAGCTGCTCATTGAGGTATTACAGGGTCACAACCAACCTTAAGACCTGTTGTGCCATAAAGTTCCAGTTTTCTTCTTGAGAAAAGCATAGTTCTTCCAGATGGGCAATATGACACTAGGTGACAACTGTTTGAAAATTAAAACACTAGCTGGATGGTGGTGATACACAACTTTAATCCCAGCACTCACTGAAGAGGAAAAGGCATACAGATCTCTGAGTTTGAGGCCAGTCTAGTCTACAGAGTGAATTCCAGGACATGCTCAAATGCTACATAGTAAAACCTTGCCTTGAAAAACCAAAAAACCAAAAAAAAAAAAAAAAAAAAAGAAAAAGAAAAAGAAAAAAGAAAAGAAGAAAAATAAAAAATAAAAATAAAATACTATTGTGTTAAGGAATTGCCTGATCAAGCAAGGCTTTCATATAGGCCCCCAGGCAGGGAGGGGGATCATTCGTGGGAGAGCTCGTAACAGCCTGGGACCTAGCTAGGCCTTGGAGATTTCCCTAAGGGCCTGACATGTTGATAATAAAACAGAGCTTCTTCCCTAAAATGAGGAATATGCTTTGGAGAGCTGGAAATGATCTGAGGCAAGGGCCTTTGTGGTAGGGTTGCTTCAGATACTGAGAACCCAACTCTTTCAACCACATGAGGCTATGGTTACCAGTCCACAAATCACTGTGGGCTTAGTCAGTAATGCTCTTGAGAAAATCTGTTTCACTCTGTGTGGCATTGTTTGATTAGATTCCTCCTGAATTTGTCCCATTGTATGATAGTTTATGCTGACTTCATGAAAGTCAGCCATTTTCTTCCATTTCTCCCCGTCAAAGTAGTATACAAGGTGCTATTCTTCTTAAGAAGCTTAGTTGACATAAGACATAGATTTTGGAAGAGTGCCCCACCCCAGCTTTTATCTTTTCTACTTTCTACTTCTCTCTTTCTCATCCCATATAACCTCCACCTAAGGACCCTATCACTGAAGAAAATCCTGCTCTTTCACATCAATGGGGTACTTAAGAAATAATTTTGGAAATGCCTTTGCTGTAAGTCTCCCATCTGTCTTAGTGGGACATGATCTCTGATGTAGTAGAGTCTCTGTTCAATTTGTGATATGTCCTTCTTGAAGTTAGCTTGGATTTTGCTGTAGCAGGGAGTCTTTGTTCTTCTGACTTATGTGGCCTCTTTTTTCTGAATTTTGTAGTCTATACCTATTCTTTCGACTGGTGCAGTTTGTACTTGAGTGCTGAAGTCTGATTCTCAGATTGGTGTGGTGTTTTCTTTCAACTGCTGTAGGCCATATCTGAGCAGATGAATTCTGCCTGAGATGGGAGGCTTAACCTTCTTTCTTTCTTTCTTTCTTTCTTTCTTTCTTTCTTTCTTTCTTTCTTTCTTTCTTTCTTTCTTTCTTTCTTTCTTTCTTTCTTTCTTTC